ATGTGATGTGATTTGGAGACGAGACAAATGATTGCTTTATGTTCATACTCTAACCACACCAACTGTTATTATTATACATGTGCATAGTGGTGAGCACGTTTATCATCTTGTGCTCATCCCCACCTGCTCTTCACCGATGCAGGTTAAGCAATAGCCGGGTGACAAGGAAGGGACGAGTTGGGTCGGTCTAATTACTTATGCATTTTAATTACTTCCGCTGAACTTGAATAAGTCTGTTGCACGTTATGTTTTTGTGCAAACTATTTCCGAACCTTGTGTGTTGGTTTTGAAACTTATGAACCTTTGTCGTTTTGGGATTGATATTTGGTTATTTATTTCATGAGTTTATGTTGGTTAATGAAAACTGATTGTGAAAACCGGGTAATGAATCCCCGTAGGCCCAGATAAGACTTGGGATATTAAAAATGTTAGTTAACACCCACTATGTTTTCGAAAATGATTTTGAAAATTTTATACTGGTTTATGGAAAATTCGAAATTTCTGTAAAATCAAAGTGGGGTGTTACATTGTCGTATGCGTGTGAGAGCCTAGTTGTAATTGTGGTAATCAGGTGTACCAAACCGCGTAAGCAACTCTCTTTCAAAAACTTCCCAAGTGATGATTTGCTGTCGCTTTTGATAAATTCTTGTGAGCCATTGCCACCATACATTGGCCTCACCATCGAGATAATAAGCGGCATACCTAACGCGGTCTGTACCGTCGATTTCATTGAGCTCAAAATATTGCGTCGCCCTATTGAGCCATGCGTCTGGATCACTGCCCGTGAATGTGGACAACGTGATGCGCGGTTTGTCGGGTGCACGCCGATCGCGGTATGTGGACGTCTGGGACTGTCAATCGAGGTCGTCCTCGCGCTCATACTCCTCGCACCGCCGATCCTCTCCTTCAGGCCGCTCGCGGTCGTGCTGTCGCGCCTGATCGCGTTGCCGCGGCGGTGGCAGGCGGGCGAGAACCGTGTGCGCCATCTCATCAAATCGTCGGTTCATGGTTTCCATTAGATCTTGCACCGTTGACTTGGTATTGTCGAGTCCTTCACCCAACGTTTCAATTGCTTCGCTCATGCCACGGAATTGGACATCGAGATTATCGATTTTGTCCTTCATCTCCTTGTTGGCCATGGCTTTTCTTTCTTCTCTCCGCTCTTTGCTTTGTGGACTCGTGGTTGAGATGATGATGATGATGATGGACGAAAATATTTATGTATATTTTTTTTTTTTTTTTTTGATAAGGGGGACAAAAAAATTTAAAGAAAAAAAGAGAAAGGGAATGAGATAGAAGAAAAACACACGATCAACACCTCTCAATGAAAGCACCAATGATGAGGATCGTGTGTTTCGACTGCCGATAAGCCGCTAACCCGTGCCTTGAATCGCCGATAGTGTTTCTCTAGCCACAACCGCGCCTATTGAAACGAATAAAATTGCAATAGTATTCTGGTGAAAAGACTAAAGCAAAGTTGGGAGAACAAAGTTCTAGATTTCTATTGATGTCTTGAATGATCAAAAATAACATGGAGGATGGTCCTTTATATAGGCACCAAATAGATCTAATCCTAATGTATCTATAACTGTAAGAAAGCAATAAAATATTAAGTATCATAATTAACCTAGATATCATTGTGCAAGATGGAAACTAAATAACTTGGCATGCACTCCAAGGGATCTTCTCTCTCTCTCTCTTCGGCCCCCCATGCGACCGCCTTACCCGCGCGCCGCCTTCGCCCACGCCCTAGTCCTTGAGGACTAAGGCACCGCCATTAGCGCGTGCATCGTCGCCTGTCGTGCGGCGCACGCCTACGCCTCCCGCTCCTGCTGCACGCGCGTGATCCGCCGCCCTACCGCATGCCTCAAGGTATGCGGCATCCAGCCCCGCGCGTTCCTCCCCGCGCGCTTTGTTCGCGCCCGCGCCCATCGTCCAGCCTTTCTTGCGCGTGCCGCTGCCTCGCGCCGTGTTTGTCTCGCCCAGCGCCCGTGCACACCGTGCGTCTGCGTATATGACTCGCGCACCCTCGTTCGGCCTTTCCTCGCTTGCCCCGCGCGCACTATGCTCCAGTGCGTGTACCTCTGCCGTCTCTCGGGCTTGCCTCTTGCGCGCATGGTAGGCCCGACTGGCGGCGTTCTTGAGCTGTCTAGCCACTTCCGCATCAACCCGTTAGGCACCCAACTTGCGTGCCTTCCGTTCCGTCGAGCCACCTGGTTCCTTAGCCATTCCCACCAGGTTTCACTCTTCCTATAAGCATCCCAAAACCTCTGATAGTGCTTCCTTTCGAGGCGTGGTCTTGCCCGTGCACGTCTACGCCAATGCGCGTATTTGCGCCCTTCCTTGCGCCCGTTTGTTGCCCGTCCCAGGACCATCTTCTCGCATGCTCTTGCGCATGTTACCACTCGCACGTCCGCCTGTTCACGGCCATCCCATGTGCTCGCTGTCCACCCAACATCCACCCCTCGCGCACCGCTTATCTCTTCCGTAATGTAAACACCCAAGGACTTCGCCTCCAAACGTCGTGTGCGTCGCTCCCTCGCGCACGCCTTGTACCAGTCGACCGCGTTACCCGATCCTTCAAGCCTCGATCTCTTGAGCTTCTTGCTCGACCTCCTATGCCATTGTGCATGTCGGCACCCTCGTATACGGGCTCGTGCACGTT